ACGTTTCACTAAAGAAGAACCATCCAGAGGACCTACTGATTTTTTTCTACCTGGATTACTGAGATGCATCAGGACACCTCAGGGCTGTTTGCCAATCACCAAAAACAAACTAAGAAGAAGAAGAAAAGCACAGACCATGGAGGAGGGGCAGTCAAGCAGGTGTGACACCCCCCACCCCAGACTCTTTATTTAAAAAAACTGCTTTTGCATTTACTTGTGTCATCTTTGACTGATATCTGAATTTTCTGTATCTGAAACATTTAATCGACAAAGAANCACACACACACACACACACACACACACACACACACAGTGTAACATGGATTAAAGCCATAACTTGTGAGTGCCACATTTCTCTGGACTCTGTGATTTTTGCAGAAACTGTGACTCCTGCAGTTTCACACCTCGTTCTCACTGTCTGCTTTTTTCTTCCAGGCAGGAGAACTCGTCTCATATGCTGCATATTTTCATCCACCACAAACAGAAGCCAAGAACACTGCTGCTCTTTCTGGGATGTCAAAAAAAAAAAAGATCTGAAAGTGTAATTTGTGAACCTCTAAACTCAGATTTTAAAGCTGTGCAGAAGCAGAGCTGCAGGCAGCAGGAGTCATCCCTTCTGACTGGCAGCTGGTGTCTTCAGAACGTCTTATAGCGACCTTTGAAGAGGAAGTTGCACTTTGAGTGTCGACAGCAAAGCAGACAGACATCCTGAGGACTGAGAGTTGTTTCAGAGGTGGGATGACAGCCAGAACAGGTAAGCTGCCCTCAAACAAGGAAGAGTTTTAAAAGAGCTACACCTGTTTTACCTGTGCAATTTTAATCAGCTTTTAAGAGCTGAGACAGAAATAAAAACAGTTTTAGTCAGTTAATATGAAACAAGAATCAGAAAATAATAAGGTAATCAGGTTTTTTGTCAAAGTTTTCTCTGAATAAAAGTACTTTGTCACAATAAGATCTCATCACTGTCTAAACCTGGAGAAACATAATCCAATGACATTTGAAAGCTTTTGTAATTTATGTTTTCTTAAAGAAATTTTTAAATGTATCAATAAGTTAGCTCCTGATCCATTAAGTTCAGTTATACAAAGGCAAAACAGCTACAGGGTAACTAGAGGATCGTTACAACAGGATTGCTGAACTGCCCTGTGTAGAACCTCATGATAAAAGCAGTTTTTCATGGAAAAGTACAACATTATGGAACTTATTGCCCCCACAAGTAAAAGCTACACCTGGACTTAAATTTTTTTAAATTAATTTCATTAAAAAACAAACAAAATGTTTCATACAACAAAAACGATACAAATTAAACAAAATGAAACGCAGCATCTGAAGAAAAAAAAATCCTTATGATATCTGCTCCTTCTTTAAAAAAATATTTCAAACATTACTAAACCAAATAATCAAACTAAATCTAAATAAATCTTGGCTAAAGGAAAACCAAAGATGTGATAATTTCTCGTCCTCAGATTAACTGGATGAGAAAGTCTGGGACTGTGTGTGTTTGTGAGTTAGTATTATATTTTTAGTTTATTATAGTAGTATTATATTTTTAGTTTATTATAGCTGAAAGGCTGAAGATGGAGAGGTATTGAGGATGTGTATCGATATTTACATCAATTTAGACGTTGCAAGGCTGTTTATGAATATGTAGAGTTAAATGTTTGTTTTTTATTGTTTCTGATTTTTAAACTGAATGTATTTTAATGTATTGCATGTGTTTTAATACAGTTTCTATAATATGAATTTGAAGGTTGTATGGTTAATTGCATGAGATGTAGGCAGAAATACATGTATATATTTAATGTATGTTCATGTATAAATTGTATATTTTTTAATGTTTAGAAAATCCCAACCAGGGACTGGACTTACAAATTAGCTGTAGCTTTATACTCTTTGTGCAACGCATCAGTTACAGTCTTGATCTGTTCTATGTTTGTGTGCATTAATCCTGCCAAATAAACTAATAAATGAAATGAAATTAATATTTAATTAATGCTCTGTAACTCATGCCAGCTTGTCTCTAACTGTATTTTCACACATTCTCCTATGATGTGCCTGATGCTGTAAGTGTCCGTGGGTGTCCTGAAA